GAGACAGCGGCGGTGCTGTTGTTTTCATGGCGTGTGCTCATCCGCTGTTCAAGCCCATTACATTCCCGATCAATAATTGCTTTTTAAATAATCATTCCATCATTTTTTATGCAGCATGTTTTAAAGGAAATGGTTTTTTTTTCCTACAAAGGTGCAGAACTAAAGAATGGCCAAAGCAGCCTTTCTGTGACAGATATTTAGGAAAGGAGCATTTTCTGTTCGCTGGCTGCCATTCGTACCCCCTCCCCATCCCATTAAGATGTCTAGTTTGTCGCTCTCCCAGTTGCTCACCTTGCGTAAAGGACAGCACTTCTATAGAAGGATACTGGCCACAAGAACCTCATCCCTCTTCCAGTTTGGGATGGCACAGCTTGCATGAGTATTGTGTGAGGTGCCTCATGACTATTTTAGGTGTGTTAAACTCATTTCAGTGACATAAGCTAGCAGTGATGTGGATGAACCTACCTTTCAAAGTGTTTTGTGCCTTAGTCTCTCATTTATTTCAGTGGAGAACATAAGATCAGGTTCTGTAAGAAAGAAAAAAAGCCTTTGGCCTCAGTGTAGGATCATATCCATGCCTTCTGACTCTTCAATATCTTATTGTAGTGATCTAAAATGCAGTATGGTTTCTCAGTGTATTTCCTGCTGTATTTCTGCTTCTGGTTGCAATTCGCTAAGAAAAAGTTAACTTAGACTAGGAAAATGCTCAGCCAATGATAAACATACAACCAATTGATTTCTCCTGTCCTAGTCAGCTAGTACTGAATATATTGTAATTGATGGTTTAGGAGTAGAAGAAACATGATTATTCCACATTTTACTATTATTGCTAGCACTCTTACGGTAGTTGAGTAACTATAAAGAGTGTTCTTGCCTGTCTGAAGTGGCCCGAAAAGCTCTTGTTGCTGTTATCTGTATGTATGGCAGTTGCTGTTGCTGCCAACTGTGTTCATTGAGGTCAGTGGAAAGACTCCCATGACTTCATTGAGGGTTGAAATTGAGAAACTAAATCTAAGTTTGGATGCTTCTAAGACATCATAGTGCATTGTCATCGAATCATTTGGCTAAACGTGTATGTATTTTGATGTTTGTTATGTAGTTATACTTGATTTTATGAAGACTTAATACTAATTATAAAACAAATTCTCTCCGGGCAGGAAAACTGCATAGAGTCAGAGCCACAGTTCTTTAAAACTAGTGATGTTTTTTCACTGGGCTGTGAATTGGTTCTTACAAAATAAGAATGCAAAATAATGTAGATGATCACTAAATTGCAATGTTATGGTCCACTGTGTCTCTAGTGACATTTTCAAACTATATTTGCTTTTAGAATAAAAGCAAATCTTCTCAAAGCAACTGTGAAAACAGGTGGACATTAATTAGAATCTTTTAGTCTGAAAGCAACAGGATCACATATCAAAAGGATCACATATCAACATGTGAAACTTGCAGCATGCCTACAGAAATACTGTAATGGGGGCCCTGATAAGTTATGCCCGGAGTGATTAAAAACTGCCATGCTCCATGCTGACTTTCTGCATACACTGTTATTTAAATAAATATCATCCTATAAAATATGTTTGCGTTTTTGTAACAAAAAAGGATTGAAATGCCAGATTTGGACCGAGACTTCACATTCTGGCAGTGCTTGGATCCATTTGTTGTGCCACGTTCATTGCTATTTTTAACTTCTGTAATGAGAATTTAATCTTATTTGTTACAAACTCCATCATACTGAAAGTATTCAAAAAGCTTTATAGTACATAATAAGTAATGGCTACAAGCACTGTATTTTTTTTTTCCCCTCCAGAATGCTACTAGATATGTCAAAATACATGTTTGGATTGTATGAGAATGAAATAAAGCCATGAAACTACAGAAGAAACACTGAAGATGGTATTTTCAATAGTGCTGCTGTAATGAAATTGAAATATTTTTGTGATTAAAGGCTTCTCAAATAGACATTCAAAATATAAAACATTTTTTAGAACAATAATATTTAAATGCCAAGTAGAAATTAAAGTCCATATCCTATCTGCTTCCCACATACCATTCAAAAGCAGGATATGAACTACTGGAAAGAAAAAAAAAAGTCACTAAGTACACCATGTTTGCTCCTGTTGTGCAACTATTTTACTTCACAGCAGCTCCATTACTTATTTGTGGAAAGGATGGGGTGAGTTAGAAATGTGCAACCTTCTTTTCTAACTTGCTTGTGGCTCTAAAATTGGTTTGAAGTCACTGACCAGGGAAGAAGGCAGGCAACTGAGTGAATGGGATCTCCAAGTTCAGTACAAGTACATACAGCTCAGTATATATTACATTGTAAATAATGATCTGGTTATGCAAGAAAGTGCAATCTACTGGCAAATCTGTACATAGGTATATTGGGAATTTTCATGAGTGTACCACGAAGTTCCTAATTAACAAATTGGAATGGCTCCACAAGTAAAGATGCTCAGTGGATATCTACGGTTCTTGTGTACTGCATGCTAGTTTAAATTCTGCGTAGCTCTTCTACTTATCCTGCCTTTGCTTGATTTTGATAGATGTACGATGAAAAAACCCACCTCTCTCATATCTGTATTCTACTTGTAGTTAATAACTTTGTCAACTTTCTTCCTTATTAGCCGAGATGCCCAGACAGTTTCCAAAGCTGAACATCTCTGAGGTTGATGAGCATGTGCGGCTTCTAGCAGAGAAGGTATTTGCTAAAGTCCTTCGAGAAGAAGACAGCAAAGATGCCTTGTCACTATTCACTGTGCCTGAAGATTGCCCTATTGGGCAGAAAGAGGCCAAGGAGAGGGAACTGCAGAAAGAACTGGCAGAACAGCAGTCTGTGGAAACAGCTAAAAGGTTTGTTCAGTATTTGCTTTCTTATTGGAAAACATTTTTTTTTTTAAATGAGTTTGAGTTAATATTGAAATATCTGCAAATAACATTCTGCCTCTTCAGGAGACAGGTCAACAGCAGGTACCAGGGGCACCTGTGTGATGTCCTTCTGTGCTATGCAGAAGGGGTGGGGATGGGCCCTGGGGAGCTTGGATTGGTGAGGCTGTGTCAGCTGTGTTTACAGCAATAGCATAGATACTGCTTATGCAAGTTTAACAAGCAGCATAGCTGGGTGGAAGTGAACAGAACCCTAGGGCTCTTTAATGTAAAAATAGTCAGAAAAATAAATACTTTCTCTACCCACCCCCCTTTATTCTAGTTTCATACAGAGAAATGGAAAATTTTAACATAGAAAATGACAGTGGTATACTTCTTTTAGTCTCTGTAAAAATAGATAAAAGCAGAGACTTGACATTTAACATCAAGGGAGAAGGTGAAAAGTGGTATTGGCATAATGAAGTTATTCATAGGTTTCCTGAGCTCACAGAGATAAATTCTAACCACTATCAGCCTTAAAAGCACACATTTTGAGTTTTCTCAAAAAAAAAAGTACAGTCCACCTTTTATTTACTCATGAATCTAATGGAGCCAAACTTGATTTGGTTTATGATTTCTTCTGTGAAAGAGGTAGCCTTACCCTGATGTCAGGCTGTTCCAGTATCTTAACTTCATTGGACTGGCTAGACTGTTTCCTGGAGTCATGTGAGCTCAGCAGCAGCCTGACACCAAATGCTTGGATGTGTACAGACTCTTCAAAAAGCAGGCAAACAAGGAAGCCTTTGAAAGTGATAGCTACATACATGTACCCGGTTAGCTGCAGACAATCAGTTGGGCAACGCTTGGCACCATATTTCTGGAACAGAAGGGAGAAGAGTCAGTGCAGTTAAATTAAGATATGACACACTGATGATACAGGCCTAGACTTTTGGTTTTGAATTGTGCAAGTGGGTTTCCCAGTTGGCATGTTCATAGACATAAACAAGCACAGAAGAGAAAACTAGATGTTTTCAAACAACTATTTGTTGTATCTTTCCTCCTGAACTAATAAATTCCACTTTTAATTTGTGAAATTGTCTTAGAGAAATATGTTCTGTACGTCAAGTTTTGTATAAGTTTAACTGTGGGAAGTGGGATGTTATACATGTGGTGTTCATGTGTGGGAACAGAACAAGTATTCATCCCTGTCCTACAGGACTGAAGCATACTTCAAGGACAGTTACACAAGTAAAACTTCTGTCGTTTTCAGTTACAGTTGATCCAAAACTGCCTTTCAAGAATTTTGTACTGATTTCAAATGTGGCTACAAGTACTTGAGAGGGTGAAATTTGGTCATAGGCTATTAATCATACCAGCATTACATATTCTTATTCTTCAGAATATCACACAAGTAATGTGCAACTCCCAGAGAGTTTCCCAGTATTCCTTTTTCTTTGTTAGTGGTTCTTACTAACATTTTAAGGTTTTGGGGTCTAGTTTATGATATGAGGGAGTATTTCCACAGTGCAAAAGAAAGTGATATCACAGGTAGATTATAACATTATATTTATTTATTATATGAATATTTAAAATTAATTTAAATATATTTACACTGAGTAAGGAAAATTAATTAAATCTTTAGAGATATTCCAAAACTTCACTTGAGGTATAGCAGTTACTTCACTAAAAAATACTGAATTTTTTTTTTAGCTGGTTTGTCTAAGGTATACAACTATGACAGTTTTGCTGAGAAAGGGTGAAAGTTTTTAAATCTGTGGGGGTTAGTCATTTAGTTCTCTGAGAGGAGGAATGGACTTGCATATCAAAGCTGTGGGATGTTATTACTCTGATAACCAACATTAGCCTTTTGCTCAAGTGTCATCAAACTGCCAAGGAATAACTTATAAGTTTAACTGAATGACTATGTATGAAACTTTTTATGCATAGTCTTGTCTGACAACTAGATGACTTTTTAAATCCTGCATGTTTTGGGCAGAATGAAAAGTGTGTGTAATAGCATGAGAACTTGTAACAACTTACCGTATGTAACATTCACTTGTTTCTGTCTGATACTTCATGAATTCTGATGCTACCAGTCTCTAAGAATCAGCTCCTCCTAAAGTAAGCACAGTGATCATGTTTTCGTTCTGTACAGTGACTTGCTGAAACTGTTCAAGAGTGAAACAAAACAAACCTTAGGGCATTTTACAGGGATTGTAAATAAATTATGGCATACTGTATTTGTGTGGAGGGTAAGTGCAATTGTGTGTAGCATATATCATGTGAAATGTCAATGGAAAAAAAGCTAAAAGCCAAAAAATGTGACCAACATTTTTCCTGTGGTATGAGAGATTTCATTTGTAAAACTTCTCAGGGGGTAAACAGTTTTCCAGTGCATTTAATGTTTTACACCATGGCTTATTTTATGCTTTATACCATGAATTCATAGGAAGAAAAGTTTCAAGATGATTCGATCCCAGTCTTTGTCATTACAAATTCCATCTCAGGAATGGAAAGCACCATCAACCAATCCTGTTCTGTCTCCTGCAACACCAGTTCTTCCAAGTGCTTTTCTGCCAGTCCAAGTGCCATATGATGTACCAGAGTTTCAGAGAGTTTCAATTAGTGGGGACTACTGTGCAGGGGTAAGAAACCATTTTTTTCCCCTTTCTGTATCTAGGGGGGAAAAAAAATCCTAAAGCACAAGCAGCTAATGTATATAAAGTGTGAAATGCCAGTATATTACGGCTCTTTGCAACAAACACTAAATTGCTTTGTGAACATGTTGATTTGTAAAACAGTTAAAGTCAAGGTCAGATCATTTTATAGCTTTTATCATAAAAAAAAAATTGAATAGATAACATAACCAGGCATTAAATAAATGGGTAGTATATGTTAGGAGAAAAAAAAATTGTGTGTATGTGCTTTGCACATTGTATTTGGACTCTGCTTCTGTCACTGGCTTCCTGAAACCTTGGATAAGATCCTTATGGTCAAGCTACATACACTTAAATTTCTGGAAATTCAGTCTCCTTGTTACTGGTGTGGATTCAGTTTGTTGCTAAAACTGCTGTTTTATTTTCATCAGTATTTATCCAGGCTTTCCTTTCAGGTTACAGTTGATGACTATGAACAAGCTGCCAAGAGCCTGGTGAAAGCTCTTCTCATTCGAGAAAAGTATTCACGTCTTGCCTACCATCGCTTCCCAAGAACAACATCTCAGTATTTGTGTAGCATGCAAGATGAGAAATGGAAGATTGAAGATGAAGTGTATCCAGGTGAATATCCTTGTTCTTCTTTTTAAAATATAGAATTAAACCCATGTAGTTCTATAGCAAAGGTAAGTTGCATTTTTGTGTTGATCTCTTCTGAGCGTCTTTGCCCCTGTAATTTATTCTGTTAGTAAGTGGTGGAGAATCACTGATGGACCCAAGTTATAATTCCTTTGTCTAATCTGAAACTTTAAAGCTGCCAAAAGCTTAAAAAAAATACTAGATGCTCACTGACTTTTTTTTTCCTCCCCAGCAAATGGGATAGTAAATAGTACACTTGGGTTTCTCCAGGAAAAATATATATGGATATAGTTTAAAGTGAAAAGTTATTCCTCCTGATTTTGGCATGCTGAAATAAAAGGGATTATGAGCTCATCCACATTGTAAACTGAAGCATGAGACAGACATGCCAGTTAGCAAGCATGGAGTCAGTAATTTCACAGGCATGGTACACTTACCAGGTCAAGACTGGAAGCTGTACAGTCATATTTATTGGGCATTCTGCCTGGATTAATAAACTCTGGTCTCTCAACAAGGCTTATTAGGTTGAACATATTCCCCACTATATATGTCACATTGTTTTTGTCACTTAGGTGGGTTGTGTCTTGAAAGCTTTGCTTGTGCATTAAACTAGTTTTTGGATTAGCTTGTGAGGAGCAACCTTTGGTCTGTACAGATGTGCCACTGTAGATGGGTTCATATTGTTGGCAATGTATTCTCAGACATAAAGTGACATTTTAAATCAATTACCCTCTATCTCAGTGGCAGAAAGAGGGTGAATTAACATGTTTTCAAGCATTTGTTATACAAAAAGAGTGTAAAGAGGACAGTATACTGAATCTAGAAGACAGGAAAAATATTTTGGAACAGATACCAGGGAAATATTTGCAAGCTATTATTGGCTTAATAACTTTTTTACAGTTATGATTTTAAACTTATGAGATAAACAATAACATGTAATTACACAATGTCTTATTTAGCACAAGTTTGAGCTGGATAGTTATGTTATAAACTGATACCATTATCTCTAATATACATTCAGGTGCTCTAGGTGAATAAAAGGTTAATTACTTCTGGCTTTGCTTAACTGAACAGGTAAAAGAAGAAATCTCAGTGACAAGACTGAGCCTGATAATGTAGTTCAGCTGACATAAATGTAGTTGAGACACTTATTTTTATAGTAGTTGCATTAGTAAGATACAGTAAAAGAAGCAATGAACATTCACAAGCATGGGTGATAATGTTTGAGTATTCACGTAAGCTGAATCTCTCAGAAGTATGTGCGTTTACCCAATTCTCAGAAAAAAAAACCAAACCTGTAATTTTGTAAAGGGATTACAAAACTGTACTGAACAAATCCCAGCCATGCTTCTGGTACCTTCTGATTTCAGCCATGATCAGAAGGGCAAGGGGAAAACTAGAGTTGTGTTGTACTATCTCTGGCTTCTGCCCTTGGTTCTACTTGAAAGCACTTTAAATAAAACACAAAATTTTTATGTTTAAAACAAACAAACAAAACCCAATCAAAGCACAGCAAAACCAACCAACCAAACTAAGAAAAAAACCTGCAGACCAACCACTGCCTTGGTCAGAGTGAGAAGCACTGCGGAGGAAAGAAAGAGGAAACAGTCCAAGTAAGTATGTGCTAGTCTAGCTCATTGTATTGTGGGAAGCGCAGAGGTGAAAAAGGCACAGTCTGTTCTTGTCTGACTGATGTTTCAATATGAGAACAGCTGCATTACTGTGTGCTTAAATATAAACTTCCAAAATTACTACGGTGAGTCAGAAGGTGAAAAGAAAATAATGAAAGTGGGTATGAAGTCAACAACTGTTTTATTGTTCAAAAATCTCAACAGTACTTTCATCCAGCCTAATTTAAATACTTCTGGAAACTTATTTTGGAACTTGTGCCATCATACCGTAATGAAGAATAGTATTAAATCTATTTATATGTTGGTTCAGACAACTCTAATAATGTATAACTGAATTAAGGTAGGCACTTAGCTTAGAGAGGGACTGCAATTAAAGCCTGTCAGAATAGAGCTGATCAACAGATCTTTTGTAATAATGAAAATGTGATTTTAATGGAAGTATTAAGATCTGTTGGAAATTAAGCATTATAGAAGCAGAAAGTCCTTTCTGTAATTACTTGGCCTTTTGTGTAAGTTATTTCTTCAAAATGTAATGTAAATTTATTTCCAGATTTCCATTCACCCCCAGAAGATAATGAAGATCCTTACAATCTCGATGATGCTCCAGACAATTTGGATTATGTTGTCAAGATAAAAGGTGGCATTCCTTTTGTTTATGATAACAAAGAAATGATGGAGCTCAATGAGCCTCGGAGTCTGCCATATCCTGACCTGGAGACTTACACCCTTGACCTGAGCCATGTTCTTGCTCTAATTGCAGATGGTCCAACGTATGTTTCTTTCTTTCTTTGCCCCTTCAGGCTGCTGGTTACCTTTAGTTTAATACTTCTCACTTTGGCGATATTTAATTCCTCAGCATACTCATTGTACAGTAATATTTTGGTTTGCCCTTCTCAAGCATTAATGCATCACAGAAGGACTTAAAAGCGGAAAAAACCCTGTATTTAATTTCTTTAGTTTCTTTGCATCAACTATGGCAAAATGAGAAGCAGTTAACAGAAAAGCAATAAATTGGCAAAATGTTCCCATTCAAGTCAAATCTGGCCCAAACTTCTTGAGGCATGGGAACTGAAACTTGCACCTCACCTTTATTTTGTTTTGGCCTATTCTGAATTTGAGATTCTTGAACACTTGTCTGGAATTCCTTCACGTCTCTTCTAATCTTGCTGCATGAAGAGAAAGCCTGCATAAGCAGAGCATACACAACAGCTCAGCAACATAAATATTCAGTCTGATTTGTTCCAGATGTGAATTAACTGCTTATGTGCTGCAAAACTGATCCACACATGCACAGTCAAAATAATTCGGAAATTTCCCAGGCCCATTAAACTCCTGTAAAATCTCCAAAAACCAGAAATATAACAACTCTAGTACAGTCACTGACACATGCATGACAAAGCCATGTCCTTGCCCAGTGCATAATGAAAACGTGCATTCAGTTCTTAAGTTTACTTCCTAGCTGAGGACTGGAAACATCAAGGTTTCTCATGGCCTCAACACCAGGGATGGAACAAAGCAGGAACCTGGACTGTTCTTCGGAACTTTTTGCCCTGCTTGCCAGCACTGCAGGGCTAGTCCTTCTGCCTTTGAGAGATCATCACTTACAACGTGACAAGTTTGTCACACCTGATGAATTTTCCCCTTTGGGTCTGACACCTGCAGCATAATCTGCCTGCCTTGTGCACTGATAGTGGCAAAGCAGATGGGCTGAACAGAGCTGTCCCATTCCTTAAGCACTTTTTCAAGAGCAAAAGCCTGTGCTTCCACCAGATTCTGCTTCAAATCAAACCTAGATTGAATATGTTTGTTTACAGTATGCAATGGGTAAATACATTTCCAGTTCCAGTGTTTTATATTCCAAGAGACAGATACTGAGACGACTAAAGGACAAGGAGGAAAAACTTGAAACAAGAGTAATACTGAAGACCCTTCTTTTTGCTGCTTTTGTTAACAGTCCTTATCAGGAAGCAATAAGTAAGAAGGGCCTTGGTGCGACATGTTAGAATACACAGCACCTTTGTGAATGTGGGAGCCACCATCTGCTCCTTTCACTTCAGATTAAGCTTTTGCAGGCTGATTCACACTCCCTGATAAATATACACAAACCAAAGGAAAAAAGTCTTTTCAGTAATCCTGTCGCATAAGCTCTTCATATGGTATTGTTTCCCTGTTTGCAGCTAGTGCTTTCCTGTCAGATATATCTTATCACACATAGGGCTGCTTGGAGACCAAGAACCTGTTGTTCTTTAATCTTAGCTGTTCTTAAACTGGTGAAATCTCACCTCTACTCCTCAGTCTTCAGGTCTTTTGAATAACAGAATAACCCAACAAAGACTTCCTGCAGTGGGCAAATGGGCCTTGATCAGTATCAGAGACAGTGAGACTGTGTTTGAATCAGACTTTCAAATCCATAATGGGATTTGTGTCCCATGGAGGAGAGATTGTCAACAATACATCAGAAAAAAGAAGTCTCTTACGTTAATAGTGCTACGAAAATATTGTAGATTCAGTAAGAATTGACAGATGGTGAAGAGAAAAACTATGTCATTGGTTAAAAATAGAATGAGAAACGTAACAGAAGAGGAACATGAAGACAGAGGAGTAGGCAAGCAGGGACAAAAAAAGCATGATTTTTCTAAAAAGAGCACAAGAAATTATTTTGGGAAAAGAGTATTTCTACACATATATATGTTTTTAAGGCATAAAAAATATATTGGATTTTATCTTGGCTTCTTACATTCATATTGAAAAAGCAAATAAACTTGGGAGATTTTTTTGAAATTATTTCCATAGTAAGTCTTGATTACAGGTTGTTTCTGTTTTATATGACGTTGTCTGCTCTATTGGAGGTATAGTTTCAGAGTAGTAGCAATTGACATCACATTTTATTATAAGTTTTATGCTTTCTCTGGTCATTATTACTAAAAGAGCTGCAATTTATGCACAGGTACAGTAATAACAACACTTGGACAACTTCAAGGACATAACATGGCTATGCAGAGTTATGTTGAGGCTTCACTAATAACTTTGGTGTGAAAGCATATTGAGTATTGACTTCTATTTGTTAATCAGTAGGATAAGAATGAATTTGTCTTTGTCTTCATAAAAAATATTTGTTTTTACTGTGAAAACTTCCAAGTTCTTTCTGAACTTGAAATACAAGTAGTTTTAAGTTGCAGTTAATTTTTGTGTTTTCTTTTACAGAAAAACATATTGTCATCGGAGGCTTAATTTTTTAGAATCTAAATTTAGTTTACATGAGATGTTAAATGAAATGTCGGAATTTAAAGAACTAAAGAGTAACCCCCATCGAGACTTTTATAATGTGAGAAAGGTAAGTTTGAAAAGGATTAAAGGCATGACACTTTTTAGTAGGAGTTTCAGTAATTTTGCCTTTCTTGTGTGAGGTGTAGATGATATGCATGAAGTGGTGTGTGCATGCTATTCAATTGAATTATATTATTTTAAGAATATTAAAATTTTTCTTCATGGGAACACTCCAGGAAAATTAACTTGAATATAAGTGGGCTAAATGGATTATGCTAAACTCATCTGTTTACTTATTCAGAATCAAAGGGGCTTAATTGTATGTAGATTGCTTTAAAGGAGTGAAACAGAGTTAATCAAATGAAACTTACTTGGGTTATGAATAAAAATATCCACATGGAGGTTTAATTCATTTTAATTAATTCACTGAAAGACAGTCAAGTGCATTTTCCTGCTTTCATGTAGGTAAGTCATACTACATTGTAGTAAGAGCAGCTGTATAGATTTTGTATAAAAATTTCACTTCATACAGAAAATAGGTGTTTAAATACATGTCAAAAGAGAAAAGCTCCCACAGAAATTGCACTGAGGATTCATGCTGCTGTCAGTATCTGGTAAAAAATATTTGTGAAACATTAAGTAAAAAAATTGTTATTTAAGTTCTATTCTTAGCTGCGTCTGAGATACTCTGAGATGTAATTAGGAGACAGGTAGGGGAGTCAAGGATCTGATTTCTTTTCCTGACATATTCACATGCAAGGGAGCGGTATTCACTTCAAAGCATGGAAGCAACAGTGGTATGCTGCTTCGTTTGCTTCCCTTTCCTGAAGTTAAGAGAGTTACTGGAGGGATAATACTCGGTTTGGTAGGTGAGATTTCTTCACAAAGCAGTAATTGTTGCTGGTGATTTTAACCACTTCAGGTCTGTTTTGCATTGTTTCTGTACGCAGCTGGAAGAGGTAGTCCTCATTTTGTAACTTCAGTGTTTAG